CTAAGGGAAGTAGAGGTCTGAGGGAACTGAAGGGGGGGGGGGGGTGGGAGGGGGCAGGGGTGGGAGGGACTTGAGGAAAGGGAAGGTCCTGAGGGAAGGGAGCCTGAAGAAGGGAGGAGCCTAAGGAAAGTAGAGGTCTGAGGGAAGGGCCTAAGGAATAGAGGAGCCTGAGGGAAGGGAGGGTCCTGATGAGAGTTGCCTAAGGTAAGAGGGGCCTGGGGAGAGGGAGGGGCCTGAGCGAAGGGGGCCTGGGGGAAAGGGCTCCTGAGGGAAGGGGCATGAGGGGAGGGAGGATCCTAATACAAGGAGGGGCCTGAAGAGAAGGAGGGGCCGAGGGAGGCAAGGGGCTTAAGGTAAGTAGGGGCCTGAGGAGAAGGGAGGGTTCTGAGGGAAGGGAGGGGTCTGAGGGAGGCAAGAGCTAGAGGGATGGAGGGTCCTGAAGAAAAGGAACTCAAGGGGAGGGAAGGGGCCTAAGGTAAGAAGGGGCCTGAGGAGAGGGAGGGGCCTGAAGGGAGGCAGCAGTTTGAGATAAGGAAGAGCTTAGAAGGTTGGGGCCTGAGGAAAGACAGGCACCAGAGGGAAGGGAAGGGCTTGAGAAAGGATTTGTCTCAGGGAAGAAGGGTCCTGAGTGAAGGAAGCAGCTTGAGATAAGGAGGGGGGGGGCTAAGGAAAATGGAGGAGGGGTCTAGGGTAGGTAGGGGCCTGAAGGAAAGAAGGAACTTGAGGGGAGTGGGGGTTAAGAGAAGGGAAGGAGAAACGAGAAAGGGGGGCCTTGAGGAGAAAGGAGAGTCTGAAGGGAGGTCCTATGGTGGAAGGGATGGGAGGGGCTTAAGGATGAGGGAAGGAAGTGCTTAAGGGGAACCAAGGGACTTGAGGGAAAAGGAAGGGCTGAGTAAAGGGAGGGGCTTGAGAAAGGAGGGGTCTGAGGGAAGGGAGGGGCCTGAAGGGGAGGTAGCAGTTTGATATAAGAGGCCAGAGGAGAAGGCAGGACTTGAGGGGAGGAAGGGGACAGAGGGGAAAGTGCTGAAGAGTGGGAGAGAGGCCTGAAAAGGGGGGCTTGAGGAGAAAGGAAGGGGAGGTCTAAGTGAAGGCTGGAGCCTTGAGGGGAGGGGGGGGCGGCCTGAGAAGAGGGAAAGGCCTGAGAAGGAGTGGCCTGCAAGGTGGGCCTGGGGAGAAAGGAAGGGGTCTGAGGGGAAAGAGGGGCCTAACGGGAGGGAGGGGAGGGAGTGAGAGAAGGGAAGGGACCTGAGGGGTAAAGAGGGCCTGATGGAATGGAGAGTCCTGAGAAAAAGGAGAGGTTTTAGGGGAGAGGGAGCTGAGCCAAGTGGAGGTTGCCTAGTAATTGGCTTAAACAGTATGTCATAATGCCTAGCTACCAGTAAGTTATACTAGGACCCCTGAGGATGGCAAAGTACTTCACATGCTTCATACTTCTAGTTCCCAAAGTTCATGATTTACTTAGTGCTTCACAATTTTAGCATGTTAAAGAACCATCCATACTACTAATTCATGGATGTTTTTTCAATGTTTTTTAAAATTGATTTACATCTTAAAAATAGCCATCACCCTTAGCAATATTATCCATAATACCAGTCTTGATAGTCTAGGAAAATGTACCTATTAAGCACAGATATTAATGTAGTACCAAAAAAAAAGATTTTTTGGTAGTACTGGGATTAGAACTTAGGGCTTCACATTTATTAGGCAGGCACTCTACCACTTGAGCCACACCCCTACGGCCAGAAATCCTCTCTATTTTCATATTACATATTATTTGGGTACTGGTGGCTACTCAGGAACCTGACATCTGAGGATCATGGTTTGAAGCTAATCCAGGCAGAAAAACCTCTTATCTCCAGTATACTACTCAGAAAAAGCCAGAAGTGGCATTGTGGCTCAAGTGGTAGAGTGCTAGCCTTGATAAAAGAATCTCAGGGATAGCGCCCAGGTCCTGAGTTCAAGCCCCAAGACTGGCACAAGAAAAATAAAAGTCCTGGGGGCTGGAAGGTGGCTCAGTGGTAGAGCGCTTGCCTTGCATGCCTGAGGCCCTGGGTTCAATTCCACAGCACCACATAAGCAAAAAGAAAAAAGCCGGAAGTGGTGCTGTGGCTCAAGTGGTAGAGCGCTAGCCTTGAGTTGAAGAGCTGAGGGACAGCGCCCAGGCCCAGAGTTTAGGCCCCACAACCAGACCAAAAAAAAGAAAGAAAAGTACTACGTATCATTGTTTCTCAGTAAGTCAAGCTCTAATACAAGCTGGGTTTATGTTTCTTAGGCAAGGCACTTCACTTCTCTGGGTTCACAACATGTGGATATTGTGTTTTGGACCTTTCTACATCAAGTTGGTGTTCACATTTAGGAAATGCTAGGATTCTGTTTGTCTATTAATACTCCCAATATTAATGTTCATTAAGTACTTGCATTTGTCACATTTTGCAAAAAGAATTCCAAGAGGTAAGCAGCATTATCACCTCCAAAAAGGAGAAATTATGGACTTTCTCTAGAGTTTAATATAAATTGATCCTCCTAATTTGATGCAGATATGCTTCGTGGATGTGTCCACCTTGAATGTGGAAGATAAAGACTCCAAGGTGGGTATTTTCTGCTCAATATTGAAGGGGAGTGGGAAACGTCTGAGGAAGTATGAGGAAAGGGGAAAGTTGTATCAGAGGACAGAAGGATGGTGGAAACTCAGGAAGAAGGCCACTATTTTTTATGAGTTTAGAGTCCCTGGTTCTGAATTTATTGAGATGTTTGTGTTGTGTGTGTGTGTGTGTGTGTGTTTGAATTCAGGGCCTGGGCAATGTCCCTTGGCTTTTTCACTCAGGGCTGGTGCACTACTACTGGAGCCACAACTCTACGTCTGGCTTTTTGGTGGTTAATTGGAGATAAAAGTCTCATGTACTTTCCTGCCTGGGCTGCCCTGGAACCGTAATCCTCAGATCTCAGCCACCTGAGTAGCTAGGATTATAGGCATGAGCCAACAGTACCCAGACTTTTGTCACTCTTGATACCCTTAGTTGGTAAGGGTTTTTGTAAAGGCATGGAAGATAGCATGTGAGAAAAAACTTTTAAAAATACAACCTAGCCAAGAATGGTTGACTAAGGGAATATGGGTCTTGGGGGAGTAATGATTTTGTTTTGTAGAAGGAATTTCTCATTTTTCAAAGACTAGCTAGCATTTAGAAGCCTACCACTTGTGCAGAAAAAATGGTAATAGGCATGACATTCATGATCTAAAGTCTCAAAGTGCAACTAAGAATCTCACCCTTAAAATGGGCATCACACCTGTAATCCTAGCTACTTAGGAGGCTGAGATCTGAAGATAGAGGTTCAAAGTCAGCCCAAGCAGTAAAGTCCATGAGACACACTTATCTCCAATTCATCACCAAAAAATAAATAAAGCCAGAAGCAGAGCTGTGGCTAGAGCACTAGCCTGAGCTGGAAAAGGTCAGGGACAATGCCCAGGATCAGAAAACAAAAAACAAAAACCTCACCTTTAACATAAGTGCTTAGAATGTCAAAGTGCTTGTCTTGCTAGTGCAAGGACCCTCCTTCGATCCCCAGTACAATCAAAGAGTAACAAATTAACTCTTTAATTTCATAGGGTGCTGCTGGTTCCAGGTCAGAAGGTGACTTAAATTTAGAAAACCTGGAGGAAAAAGAAATTATTGTGATCAAGGATACTGACAAACAAGATCGATCTAAGGTAGATTTAGCCTCTGCAATTCTACAACTCCTAATTCCTAGGATCCAATATTGAGTCTGAGAACTCTGGTTCAGAGATAGTAAGAAAACTACTGTTCAATAGACCATCCATTTGTATAGTATGACATTCTAGACAACGTAGGACTAAGTTCAACATTCAGGTACCTAAATGTATACAGTAAGTTCAACGCCTAGGTACTTAAAATATGGCATGTATCAATCTTAGGGTCTCAGACTGCCCTCTCCTCATCTCTAGGTACTTACTCCAAACATAATCTTGCCACTCTTTATCCTAACAAGGATGTAATCTTATAAAAGAGTTGTGTGTCCTACATTGCCCAAAATCCAGAAAAGGAAGAGGAACATAGAGCACAGTGGACCCATAACAATGAAAAAATGTAATACCTAGTTTCCAGAGAACCCATAACAATGAAAAATTTAAGGATCTAGTTCCCATCCTCTTGTCCAAGGGATCACTCAGGCTGTAAAGCAGCTTTGAGTTAGAAGCAAACAGATTTGCCTGCCACGGACACGCCAAATACATTAGTTTCTGTATAAGTTTCAAATTGTCTTTTAGCCTTTTGGTTTAAGGATGGCACTAGTACACACAAGAAAGAAGACTTACATTCCCATAAGCCTAGAGTGGCTGGCATTGGCACATATTCAGCTTCAGTGCAAAGGAGTCAATTTTTTCCTGTTCTCTGTCTAAATGTCCATATGCTATAACTGAAACATTTCTGGTCCCAAACACCTTTAAAGTGAGGATAGTAGCCCTCCCCAAGGAAGAAAACAAGTTATACAACATTAATTCAAAAAGAGTTTGGTTCAGGGCTGGGAAGGTGGCTCAGTGGTAGAGTGCTTGCCTTGCATGCATGAGTCCCTGGGTTCGATTCCTCAGCACCACATAAGCAAAAAGAAAAAAGCCAGAAGTGGCACTGTGGCTCAAGTGGTAGAGCACTAGCCTTGAGCTGAAGAGCTGAGGGACAGCACCCAGGCCCAGACTTCAGGCCCCACAACCGGACCCCCCCAAAAAAAAGTTTGGTTCAGATCTCCATTTTAGGGTCTTTATAAAAGCATATGTTATATTTGGTGTTTATTTTTTTATCAGCCCACTTCAGATCACCTTAATTGTAATTTAAGCTCATATACAAAATGTTGGTCTCTTTATGACCTCATGTTTCCAAAATCTAAGTGTAAAGAGGAGATGAAGTAATAGAATGGTAGAGAGGGCAGCAGTACTTGGTATCTATCCAGACACTAATATACAGTCACAAAGCACAGAAATAAATGTAATATAAATGTACATAAAGTTAAAACACATAATACATTTACACTATTTAAAAATGATCTAGTGCCATGACGCCGGTGGCTCACACTTAATAATCCCACCCACTCAAAAGGCTGGAATCTGAGGATCATGGTTGGAAACCAGCCTGAGCAGGAAAGCCTGTGAGATTTTATCACACATGAGACTCTTATCTCCAATTAACCACCAAGAAGCCAGAAGTAGAGCTGTGGCTCAAGTGGTAAAGTGCTAGCTTTGAGCCAAAAAAGCTCAGGAACTATACTCAGGCCCTGAGTTCAAGTCCTCAATGAAAAATAGTGATCCAAGTGTAGTGGCACAAGAAGGTCATGAGTGAGAGGCCAGCCTGGGCTGCCTAGCCAGTTTCAGGCCAGCCTGGGCTACATAGTGGGACTTTTCTTAATTAAAAAAACACACAAAAATGCTTGACTACATGTGACATTTACAAACACACATATGCACGGACAAAATAAATCTAAATACAATGACCATTCATACACAAAGACAGAGTGACATGCTCACATATGACACACATAAATACTCAGTCATATTCATGCACACAATGCATAAATCTACACACATATTAACACATATAAGCCTTAATGAAAACACGGTAACCATACAAATTCAGGTATATATCAGCAAGTTCGTATGGTCATACACAATAATGCTGAAATGCATATACACAAGCTTACCTAAAGTGATAGACTCACTAACACACCTGCATACTTGTTTGATAGATTGATGCACATTGACACAAAATAACAATCATTTATTCACATACACATTTAAAGGCCCTGGAACATTCAACAGTGACATACAAATCATTAACCCCTGACATAATCTGTAGCATAAACTGACACACAATTTAATGATACACATATTCATTATACAATCACCAATTTCCATATACCCATAACACATTCATGAAGACATTGTCATGATGGATAATCCACACTTCCTTATTTACATACTCAGACACATACATAATCAAATTTTGACGTTCACAGACATGTACAAAAGTACACATTAACATAAACATGTTAGCCTATACAGTAGACATGAACAAAGTATAATGATATCACCACATTATTCCACCTGATTAGACATGGTCAAACATATGCACATGCATACACAGAATGGCACTCTTTCACACACCAGCAATACAGATGGACTCATTTACAAATCTATTATGTTCACACACAAATTGCTATATTGATATGCACATGTACACACAACTGACACTTTTTTATATAGGAACTTGGGCTTGAACTTAAGGCCTGGGCACTATCCTTTAGCTCTACAATTTAGCCACACCTCCATTTGTAGTTTTTTGGTAGTTCAATGGAGGTTATGAGTCTTACAGACTTTGCTGCCTGTGCTGGCTTTAAACCTCAAGTTTTAGATCTCAGCTTCCTGAGTAGTCAAGATTATAGTCATGAGCTACCAGCACGTAGCTAATTTAGCGCATTTTTGCCACATAGTGACAAACACATACATGAACTCAACCCACTGATAACACTTGTATACAGTTAAGTAAACAACCATATATACTCCTTTTTTTGTTGGTAGTAGGGCTTGAACTCAGGGCCTGGGTGCTGAGTTCATTTTGAGCCATTTTGAGTCATAGCTCCACTTCCAACAACTGTACATTCATGTATAAAATTGGATGTTATATCCCACACAAATTCCCTAAAGTCAAATCTGTCTTTTAAATAAAATAAGGGAAAGAAGGAACCTACCCAAACCCTTATGTATAGGTATTCTTCTCATTTTTTAGACGGAGGGTTCAGTATGCCTATTCAAACAAGCTCCCTCTGATCCACTCTGTGTCCTGAATTGGCTTCTCAATGATCTCCAGAAGTATGCCTTGGGTTTTCAACATGCTCTAAGTCCCTCAGCCTCTAGCTGTAAACATAAAATAGGAGACACAGAAGGAGAATATTCTCATATAAACCCTGAGAACTGCTACAGTGTATATGCTGATCAACTGAATATGGATTATATAGGCAATGGACCTCAAAACCTACGTCTAGAAATGACAGCAGCCAAAAACACGAATAATAACCAAAGTCCCTCTAATCCTGCAAATAAATCTCCTAGCAGCCAGAGGACAGGTAATGCCTCTGAAGGGGAATGCTCTATGGATGACCTTTCCTTTTATGTCAACCGGTTGTCTTCTCTGGTGATCCAGATGGCCCGTAAAGAAATCAAGGACAAATTAGAAGGTGGGAATAAATGCCTTCATCATTCAGTATTTCCACCCCCTGGAGATAAAGGGAAAATCAGTCCTAGAAGTGCTGTTAGCAAGATTGCTTCTGAAATGGCCCACGAGGCTGTAGAATTGACATCCGCAGAAATGCGTGGACCTGGAGAGGAGGGACGGGATTGTGGCCGTAAAACCTTTCTGTACAGCGAATTATCCAACAAGAATAAAGGTGGAGAAAAGCAGATGTGCCCGAGAGATAGTAAAGAATTTGCAGATTCCATCAGTAAAGGGCTTATGGTTTATGCAAATCAAGTGGCATCAGACATGATGGTCTCTGTTATGAAAACTCTGAAGGTACACAGCTGTGGAAAACCAATTCCAGCTTGTGTAGTCCTAAAGAGGGTATTGTTAAAGCACACCAAGGACATTGTGTCTGATCTGATTGATTCTTGCATGAAGAACCTGCATAACATAACTGGTGTCCTCATGACTGATTCAGACTTTGTTTCTGCTGTCAAGAGGAATCTTTTCAATCATGGCAAACAGAATGCTGCTGATATCATGGAAGCAATGCTGAAGCGTCTCGTCAGCGCCCTGCTTGGTGAGAAAAAAGAGACAAAATCTCAGAGTCTGGCATATGCAACTTTAAAAGCTGGGACAAATGATCCAAAGTGCAAGAATCAGAGCCTTGAATTCTCAGCTATGAAAGCTGAGATGAAAGGGAAAGATAAATGTAGAACAAAACCAGACCCATGCAAGTCGTTGACCAGTGCTGAGAGAGTCAGCGAACATATCCTCAAGGAAAGCCTGAATATGTGGAATCAGAAACAAGGATGCCCCATCAAGATGCCTCCCAAAATATGCCCTAGTAAAGAAGACAAAAGAGAGAAGATCAGCCCTTCCACGGACTCACTGGCTAAAGACCTGATTGTATCTGCCCTTATGCTGATTCAGTACCATCTGACCCATCAGGCTAAGGGAAAAGATCCATGTGAGGAAGATTGCCCTAGCTCCTCATACATGGCCCAGAGTGCCCAGTATGAAAAGTGTGGAGGTAACCAAAGTGCAAAAGCACTCTCAATGAAACATCTTGAAACTCGTGGCAATTGTGGACCATCTACATCTGCAAAAGAGAATCAACAGTTAGATTCGCAGAAGATGGACATGTCAAACATCGTTCTGTCACTGATTCAGAAACTTCTTAACGAGAACACCTTTAACTGTGATGAACTATGTGAAGGTGAGAGTAAGCGTTGTGAACCCAAACCAAGCAAAGCTTGTACCTCCAAGAAACCAGAGAAAGAGGAATGCCCGGACAATCTCGATATAGATTTCGCCAGTGGGATGAAACAAATGAACCGCCAATTTATAGATCAACTGGTAGAATCAGTGATGAAACTTTGCCTGATCATGGCTAAGTATAGCAACAATGGGGCTCTCGCTGAGCTAGAAGAACAAGCCTGTAGTTCCAGATGTCAAGAAGGTGGGGTGTCACAGAACTGTCAAAATGCTTGTGGGCCAGAAGTCATCGTCAATAATCAGTGTTCAACAAGCAACTTGCAGAAACAACTCCAAGCTGTACTGCAATGGATTGCAGCTTCCCAGTTTAATGTGCCCATGCTCTACTTCATGGGAGATGAAGATGGACAACTGGAGAAGGTAAGCAATGGATCAAGGCACAAGAAAGAACAAAAGAATAGAATGAGAGGGGTAGGAGGGGTAGGAAGGTCAGCGCAGCACACACACACACACACACACACACACACACACACACACACATCCCACAGCTGCCTTCTGCATTAGATGGACTCCATAAAAATCACTTTGCCACATTATTTTCAGTCCAGGATCCAAATCCTCCCTACCATCAATCTCATGCTTTATTAAGGGGAGCAGAATAACAGTAACCCCTAAACCTTGACATGGCAATCAGCACAGACTAAAGGACATAACACCTGGTAAACACAAGAATTAATGATACATGTCACTAGAGAAGGCTCAAGGGAAAAGAACAGGGATGCCATCCATTCTTGGATCTGTGACACACTTTAATCCTTTAGAATCATGGGTGGCTATGGGGGAACTGAGACAAGGGTAACTAGAAAGGGGGGCAGGCAAGGCATAGGTTCTTCTTCCAAAAAGCTTGATGACTCAAGCTATAACTCTGCTCTCTCCACAGCTGCCTGAAGTTTCAGCCAAAGCTGCAGAGAAAGGTTATAGTGTAGGAGATCTTCTTCAAGAGGTCATGAAATTTGCTAAGGAACGCCAACTAGATGAAGCCGTGGGCAACATGGCTAGAAAACAACTCCTAGATTGGCTGCTGGCCAACCTGTAAGCTGAGAACTCCAACTCCTCTCCATCTTACTCCTCCCCACCCCACACCCTTAGCAGCATTTCACCCCAGCTGGAGCCACTGCTACCATCAAGCAAACTGCAATTGTATTGCCCAATACATCTGAGCAGTTGCACTGCTCGAATATCGGGTGCCCTGCTGGGCAAGATAGTGAATAAAAAAAGAAAAAAAAATTCCGTCATCTCTTTCTCTGTCTCTCTGTCTCTCCATCTCTCTCTCTCTCTCTCTCTCTCTCTCTCTCTCTCTCTCTCTCTCTCTCACACACACACACACACACACACACACACACACGGCTTCTCTGTCACATGGGGCTTGAACTCTATGCCTGAGCTCTGTCCTTGAACACTTTTTGCTCAAGGCTAGTGCTCTACCATTTGAGCCACAGCACCACTTGCAACTTTTTCTGAGTAGTTTATTGGAGATACGAGTCTCATGGACTTTCCTGCCTGTGTTGGCTTTGAACCATGATCCTTCTGTCAGCTTCCTGAGTAGCTGGGATTACAGATGAGCCACCAGCAGCCAGCCTGTCATTTTCTTGAACAAACATCTATCTGAGGCAAGAGAGGGATATAACTTCACTTTCCATGCCTGGTGATGTTGGACTATTTTTTGTCAGTCCTGGGGCTTGTACTCAAGGCCTGGGCACTGTCCTTGAGCTTTTACTCAAGGCTAGCACTCTACCACTTAAGCCATGGTGCCACTTCTGGATTTTTCTGTTTGTGTGATACTGAGGAATCAAATCCAGGGCTTCATGCATGCTAGGCAAGCACTCTACCCCTGAGCCACATTCCCAACCCAATGTTGGACTTAAATTAAGGGCTCAAGACAGAGGTTATAACACAGGTACAGGGGCCAGGAAGGTGGCTCAGTGGTAGAGTGCTTGCATTGTATGAATGAGGCCCTGGGTTCAATTCCTCAGCACCACATAAGCAGATAAAGCCAGAAGTGGTGCTGTGGCTCAAGTGATAGAGCGCTAGCCTTGATCTGAAGAGCTGAGGGACAGCACCCAGGCCCAGAGTTCAGGCCCCACAACTCTCAAAAAACAACAACACAGGTACAAGTCCCTAAGTAATCAGGTTTGTAGAAGTAATCTCAATTCTTAATTTAAGGTTTTTGCCATCTGTGGCAGAAGGACACACTCAACCTGATAATTCTCTTTCCAACTACATGAATATCAAGACTTAGTATGGATTACAGACTCACACCTATAATACTAGCTATGCAGAAAGGATGCTGAGATCTGAGGATCACAGTTTGAAGCCAGCCTGAGCAGGAAAGTCCATGAAACTCCTTTCTCCAATTAAACATCAAAAAAGCCAGAAGTGGAGCTGTGAATCAAGTAGGGATAGGGACCAAAAATGCAACAAAGATCAGGGACAGTGGATAGGCCCTGAGTTCAAGCCCCAGGACTAGCACAAAAAGAAACAAAAATGGGGTTGGAAGTGTGGCTCAGTTGGCAGAGCACTAGCCAGTGAGTGAAAGCATCAGGTACCAAGTCTGAGACAAGAATGTATGGATGACCTATCTTACACTACAAACAAGTTGAAGTGTATTACCCATAGACATTTCCTGCCTTAACATGTCACACACACACGTGTTCCTGGCACATGGCTAAATGCTACCCATTGCCACTGTAGAATCTGTCCTACCCCAAAGTGTGAATAAAGCCACCTTAAAGTACTTCAAGACATTTCAAGTCATTTCCTTCAATTAATAAAATTCCCTTTTCTAATCCCCTTTGGAACTAGTACTAAGTTACTATGGGATGGGAAGGTGGCTCAGTGGTAGAGTGCTTGCCTTGAATGCATGAGGCCCTGGGTTCAATTCCTCAGCACCACATAAGCAGAAAAAGCCAGAAGTGGCTCTGTGGCTCAAGTGGTAGAGTGCAAGTCTTGAGCTGAAAAGCTGAGGGACAGCGCCCAGGTCCAGAGTTCAGGCCCCACGACCCACAAATAATTAGATTTGTTCTAGGGTTTTAGTTTCCTTCTTACTAGTCACAAGGACTTAGCAGACTTAGATACTGTTTTTGTTGTTTGTAAAATCTAGTTTAAAATTATACTGTTTTAGCCAGGCACTGATGGCTCATACCTGTAATCCTAGCTACTCAGGAGGCTAAGAATCTGAGAAACAGGGTTTGAAGTCAGCTCAGTAGGTCCTGGGGCTTGAATTCTGGGCCTGGGCACTGTCCCTCAGCTCTTCAGCTGAAGGTGAGCACTCTTATCACTTGAGCCACAGTGCCACTTCCAGTTTTCTGGTGGTTTATTGGAGATGAGAGTCTGGTAGACTTTCCTGCCCAGGCTGGCTTTGAACCGCATTCCTCAGATCTCAGCCTCCTGAGTAGCTAGGATTACAGGCATGGGCCACTGGTGCCCTGCTTTCCAATTACTTTTTAAAAACTAGAAGTAAAGCTGTAGCTCAAGTGGTAGAGTTCCAGCCTTGAGCAAAATAGCTCAGGGACAGCACCCAGGCCCAGAGTTCTAGCCCCACTCCCATCTTAAAACAACAAAACCCCATTGTTTTAGAGATTAATCTGGAAAAATGGATCTGATGGTATTTTGCATGGGATAGATTGTGTTACAAGTATAATTATGTGACAGAAGCTTTATCTCTGAAAAATGTCTTAACACAGTTGGGAGAATTTTCTTGATTTCAGAACTAAAAGATCGGACTGGGAATATAGCTTAGTGATAGAGTGCTTGCCTACCATGTATGAGGCTGTGGGTTTGATTCCTCATTACCACATAAACAGAAAAAGCCAGAAGTGGCACTGTGGCTCAAGTGGTAGAGCGCTAGCCTTGAGCACCAAGAGGCTCAGGAAGGGAACCCAGGCCCTGAGTTTGTCCCAGGACTAGCAAAAAAAAAGAAAAAGAAGAAAAAAGATCGAGTAGAGGAGCCATGTAGGCACATTTTAGAGGAGGTTAAAGATAAACAAAGTTTTGTCACTCCCCATAATGCCTGGACCAGTCAGAAGGAAAGGCAGGCCCCTTCGAAATAGGATCTTTCAAACTCTCTAGCCCCATGAAAGCTAATCAAACCACCTCCAGTCTCATCCCTCCCCAAGTTAAGCCACCACAGATCCATCTGTTTGTCCTTGAAGAAAATCCCCGATAAACATATCTGGAGATCAAGACTCAGTCCTCCTTGAACACAGCTGGGTTCCATAGTTTATTTACTTGATTAACTTGGCGCTTACCTTACTCCTGATTTTTATTATGAGGCGACCTTGGGGATTTCTTGGAATGTAGAAATTGAGCAAAGGAAGTTATACATTCTTTTAAATGAGATTTGGAGCAAGATGGTCTCCAAGGGCCCTTTAGCTCTGACATTTGAGGATTAAAAGGACAAGTACTTTTCCATAGTTTCTCTGGGAAACTTGCATGGATGAAGTAAGAATGATCTGGGTGAGGAAATTTGATTTTTGCCAGAGCTAACTGACAGACTCCAGAGGAGAAAGGAATGCTTTGGGCTACAAGGTCCCCTGACAAGGTCTGGAGTAACTCAACAGTCCTTGGGGTTTATTCCTGGAGAGTAAGACCCTGACCTTTGACATTTGCAAATTAGAAGTGATCTCAGGCATCCCAGTGAGCAACATGTACATGCTCAGTGCCAGCAATTGAAAGTGGACAAAGACTTAATACTAAGCTGTGAGCCCTGCATGTACTAGAGAAGGGATGAGAGGAGCAGCCACAGAGGGAAACAGGATCCTCCTCTGGCAGGCAGAACAGGCTTGATGTCTCTTGATAGTCTCCACCTCTTTGAGATCAGGGAACTGATCTCAAACTGATTGTGGGAACTGTTTCCATCAACAATTCAGGATTGCTTTCCTAAGGCAGAGGTAGACTGGCTAATACCACAGAGGATGGGGATGGGGATGCTGCTGTCAAGTAGAAAAGCCACTTCTAGTAAAGCCAATCAATCAGAAACCAAGAGTTCCTTGTTACAAGACTTATCCAGAGACCCCCAATATCTCTAGCCAAATTTATTGCAACCTATTTCCTAATCAATGCCCTCACTTTAAAAAAATTACTGCTATTATAGATGTGATGTACAGAGTGGTTACAGTTATAGATGACAGGTAAAGACTACAATTCTTCTTGGACAATGTCATCCCTTCCCTCACTCTCTCCCACTTTTTCCATCCCATCTCACCCACAAGTTGTAAAGTTCATTTTCAACATAGTGTCTAGTGAGTACCATTGCTGTATTTGTTCACCCTTTATCCCTCCATTTCTGTGTCTCCCCTTACACTCCCAAAGACATATAAATAAAAATACAGAATAAAAAGGAAAGCAAACATAAAGAGCAAAAAGGGAGAAAACTCATTTTCATTTCCTGCAGTTCATTTTCATAAATATCTTGTATGAGCAGATGCACACAGGCATTGTATATTTCTGTTCCTCTCCTAAGAATATCCTCTCTTGGTCCCATTATGTGTGAATGCCTAGAGACCTTTACAATTTATTATATCCTAGTATTTTAGATCTAACTTGTGCCCTTTTGAACTTTAGACTCTCTCCCAATGCAAAGTTATATTCGCATTGTAGTTTATATTTGCATTGTAGTTCAGCAACTTTAGCCCTATAGCTACAAGAGAGAAGATTTTTTTTAAGAAACACCTAAAATTCTTTAGATTACTTATGCACATCTGGTGCTGGGAACTTGAATCCCTGAGCTAATTCTTTTCCATTATTACTTTGTCCATGGAGCAATCCAGCCAACATCACTGTATTCCTTAGTTTTCCACAAATGTCCAAAAGTATTGTGTATAGAAATACTACATTCATTGCATCTCATGAGTGATGAATTAGGAATATTAAATACATTTCCATTGTATATGTTTTTAAACAATTTATGACATGAACTATGAGTGCTATCTATACTATCAGGATAATCTTTAGCAGCTTTAGGTTTAATCAAATTAGCCAACTACAGAAACCACAAAAACAATTATGGAAATTTATCCTTTAAAAAACTGCTTCTAT